CGGTCAAGGGCCTCAGATTCATGCCACATAGGAAAGAGAACTAGGGATGTTTAGTTTGATTAAGAGAAGATTCAAGGGGCACATGACAGTTGTTTTCAAATATCCGAAGGGCTATCATGTGGAAGACAGATTAAACTAGTTCTGTTTGGCTCCGCAGGTCAGGACCAGAAGCAACGGGTAGAAACTGAAGAGGAAGTTAAAGCTTGTTCTCAATTCAAACTATCCAAAATCGGAAGGGGCTGCCCCAGGAAGCAGAGAGCAGCAAAGAAGTAAAAGACTGGCCAATCAGATTCAATGTGCATTTAAAGGAGCCGCAACTACTAGGATCACTCCACTCCTGGGCTCCAGACCATCCCAGAACCAGCGTGGAACCCCTTCTCTGGGAGGTGAAAGGGAAGGGTAGGCTTCCCACTCTCCTTTGTCCTCTACCTAGGCTACTTGACTGCTCACAGGGCTCAAATGAGACGGGAGTCAACAACTCCATTTCTTCTGATGAGATAGAGAACCACTTATGATCTGTCTCTACCGCTCCAGACCCCTGGCATTATCATTTGGCCTACAAATGCCCCCTACAGACCTTCAGGTCTTGCCTTCTCATTACCACTGGACCTTTTGGACTTCCAGGCCTTTCCATCTGCCCTACAGTAAACTTTATTTCAAGTAATGTCTCCTATAATTAGAGTGTGAGGTCCTTGTGAACAAAACTGTCTTGGCATGTAGTAAGTGCTTAATAAATGTTTTTTCATTAATTCACTAACTTTGTCACTCTGTTGTGACTTTACAGGCTTAGGGTGAACTAGGCAGCCAATGAGGTCCTTTTAACTCTTGAAATTCTGCAAACCTGTGATTCTTCCTTTTCTCTAACTCCAATACACAATGGATTGTTTTACATTTTAACATTAACTAGGCTATATTTGCAGCAATGAGATGGATTCCTCCACAGAAATCCTACTCTAATGCTTTGTGTCACAGAGGTGACCTTGGGTTCTCAAAGGCTATGCCAGTAAAAAGTATGCTCTGGAAGATTCTAATAAGCTAGAGAGGCTTTGATTATAGTCCCAGGGACAGATTGCTTACTTTCTGAGGACCAGACAAGCTAAGTACAGAACAATTCACCACGGCAGACTGTTTACATCCTTATAAGGGAAGATGATACTTGCAACTCTTGAGAACTGTGTTGTTATTACATGTTAAAGGAGTATACATAAAGGGGGTGGATATTGGCTGACTCTGATGTAATGATAAAAAAAAAAATCTAATCAAGTGGGTTAAATGGATCCAAGTAAGTGGATTAGTCTGATCTTAGAAAATGTACTGAGAAAGGAGGAGGCACACAAGGGTAAATTATATTACGGGAAAAGACGAAAAATCCCATTACAGCAGAGGGAAAGAAGGGAGGATGGTGAGCATTGTTTGACCTTACTCTCATCAGATTTTGCTCAAGAAGGGCATAATGTAATCAGTTAGGTATAGAAATCTAACTTGCCCTGATAGGCAGTAAGAGGGAAAGGGGGAAAGAAAAGGGAGGGGGGATAGAAGGGAAGGAAGAAGCAGTAAGGGCAAAGGGGAAGAAAAGGGAAAGGGATAATAGAAGGGAAGAGAGACTGAAAAAGCAAAACACTAGTGAGGGGGGAAAGGAGAAAGAAAAGCATAAACAGGGGGGAAAAAAGATGGAGAAAAAGACACAGATATTAATCATAACTGTGAAAGTTGAATCGCTATCTTTCTTTTTCTCTTCTGTTGAGTTTTGTTTTGTCTTTCTGATGGTTCCTCCTATTGGTTTTAATTTTTACTTACAACTTCACTAATGTGAAAATGTTTAATAGGAATGTAAATGTATAGCCTATATCAGATTGTGCGCCGTCTTGGGGAGGGAAGTAGGGAGAGAGGGGGAGAAAAATTTTAAACTCAAAAGCTTATGGAAGTGATTGTTGATAAATCAAAATAAATTAATAAAAAAAAAATTAAAAGTGCTCCAAAAAAAAAGAAAGAAAAGTTCACCACTAGTGGATTTAATTATTTGGCCATGTCATCTCATGAAATAGGAAAAAAAAATGTAGTTCTATATACTATTTGCCTCCCTCCATTATAACAGAATCATGATAGTGCCTGTGTGATGAAAACAGAGACCGAGCGTGTTAAGAATGAGAGTTTTCTGCAAGCGTTATTCGACCAACAACTGACAGACTATTAATGCTGGGGTTCTTAACCTGGGGTCTGTGAACCAGTTTTAAAAAAACATTTTGATAACTGTATTTCACTATAATTGGTTTTCCTTTGCAATCCTGTATCTTTCATTTTATTTCTGAGGAGTTCACAAGTTTCACTCGACTGCCAAAGGTATCCATAACAACAACAAAAAAAAGTGTAAGAGCCCCTCAACTAAAGGAACTGAACCAGAGGAATACTGACATTGTTGCTGTAAATAAGACCAAAGACACACTTTTTAAGATTTTAACATTTTTATTTAAAGTTTTGAGTTCCAAATTCTATCCCTCCTTCCCCTCCCACCTCCCTGAGACAGCAAGCAATCAGATACAGGTTACACATGTCCAATAGGTAAAACATTTGATTTCAAATTCTTAGCCTCCACAACAAGAGCTGCTATAAATACTTTCGTACAAATATGTCCTTTTCCCTTTCAAAGGAAGAGACTTTTTTTTAAACTTGCTGTTAAATGAAATAGTAGCTCAGTTCTGTTTCTCCTCAGAGAATTAAACAGTGCTCAAAGTTTCATTGTGCGTTCAAGGGCAACATGAAACATTATTTCATAGGATATTTAGATATTTTGCTTCCTTATCATAAATGTTTTGATCAAGAACTCAGAATGTATCAGATATGGTGAACACAGGACAACAGCACCAAAAATGAAAATGACTACTTCTTAACAGATAGAAAATAGCTGCTTATTGATGCAGGATAAGAAAGTAACACAATGAAAAGAGAGACCAGGTTCAAATGCAGCCAAGTAATTTCAGAATCACCTGATCTGGTGCAGTTAGATCATTAGTTGCTTAGAGTATCGTCAAAATCAACATTCACTTAGAAAGGCTCATGCCGAGAAGTAGACAACCAGCAATTATAACAGCTCCAACCCAACCTGTTATAAATAAACCCTGCAGAGTGAGTGTATAAAACCATTCTGAATGTCACAACAACTCTCAGAGACCATCTACCAAATTATAGAGGGTTGCCTTCTGCTACTCACACTGGCAGAAACCATAGATCTCTGAAGTACTGAAGAAATTAGTATCCTTAGATATGACCTTCTGTAGTTTCACAGACTAGCTTCCATTTCTTGAAACTAAATCTGAGCACCAGAACACAATGACAAGGTCCAATATGCCGTGGGACACACACACACTGCTAAATATAAACTCCTTATCATGGACAAGCCTTAGGACAGAAGTTAACACTAACAAAAAAAAAATTACATACCAATTCATGACAGTGACTTGAAAACACATGAAGCATTGTGTCTCAATGATTATCGAGGCATAGTGAAAAGAGCACTGGACAGGTCTGGTTCCTTAAGTATGGTTCTAATCACAGTTCTATTATTTAGCTTGGTGATCCTAAGCAACTCACTTAATTCACTCAGCTGGGGGTGTGGGAGAATCGATGAACCCCAAGGTCCAGTCCAAGGCCATATTCAAATGCTCACACAGTGAGAGCTGGAAATGACCTAGGAAGGTCATCTGGTCCAACCTCTTATTTTATAGATGAGGAAACTGAGCCCTCAGAAGTTAAATGACTGCCCAAGGCCACACAGGTAATAAGTAGTGGAAGAGGCAGAACTCAAACCTATGACTCCAAATCCAAGGCTCTTTGCACTGTACTGTGCTGCCATACGTATATTCTAATTATTCAGTTGTGCGAATTTATAGTTAAAGCATGTTTAGATTCCCTTAATCGCTCTGGGCAGTAAATAATTAACACAAATTTTCAATTTTTCTTGGAATCAATTTTTTTAAAAAATGAAAATAAGTATTTTTTTTAACCGACCTTACCTGGTGGGGATTTAACAATCTGAGGGCGCCACCTCCTGGCGTTTTACAAATGTAATGTCTTTCTTTGAAATGAAAGTTTGGCTTTGGCCTCATCGGATTTTGATTCAGATCAACATCTTTCAGGTAATAAATAAAAAAATACATCGGAAGAAAGAATTAATGCACCATATTAATCAATCAGCCCAGCAACCAGGAGTCAACAAATACTTACAAAGAGATTACTATATCTATCTGGCACCATACTAAGCGTTAGGAATACAAAGGCAATGTGAAAGAGCCCCTTTCCTCAAGAGCTTACATTCTGATGGGGGAGACAACATGCAAAATATACGTAGACACAAAGGTAATACTAGAGGAGAAGGCATTAGCGTGGGGCGGGGGGGGTGAGAGAGAACCAGGAAAGGCCTCTTGCAAAAGGCGACTTTTGAGCTTTGTCTTGAAGGAAGCCAGAGATTCTACAAGACAGAGGTAGGGAGAGACGCGGAGGTGAGAAAGATGGGTCACTGGATATAAGGAAGAAGAAGAAAGTCAGTGTAACTGAACTGCAAGTGTGTGAAGGGGAGTAACGTATAAGAAGAATATAGATGGAATGGAACAGGTCTAACAAGAGTTTATATCTAATAGTAAAGGTAGTAGAGAACTATAGATATTAGTTGTATAGGGGGACGACATGATTATCCTAGGCATTTTAGGAAAATAACTTTGGGGGCTGTGTGGAGAATGGACTGTCATGGATTATGATTTAGAATTAAACGAATACTTGCAGTATTAGCTTCATAAATAAACAGCTTACTCTATTCGCAAAGGAAACACAAGTTAACAAATTTGTAATCTTCATATCCAGATTTAATCCTATATATGTGGTAAACGAGGTTTAAACGAATGAATAAATAAATGGACAAGAAAAAGCATTTATTAAGTGCTTACTATGAGCCCAAGTATTGTGTTAAGTGCTGGAGATACAAATTTTAACAATTAGACTGGCCCTGCTCTCAAGAAGTTCACACTTTAGAAGAGGAAAGACATAAAAAAGTTCAGCTGTAGGATAGACAGAAATGCCCAGTGATCCTTAGGGTGCATTAGCTCAGATGGCAATGCCCCAAAGTCTGGAGGGCACAGAAAAAAGGTAGATGGAAAGGCCCAGAGGACATACAAGACAAATGATAAGGTCAGGTAATTTTTTATCTCATCAGAAAAATTAGAGTAGTAGGCTCCTATAAATCCAAATTGTATGGACAGTCTTGTCCCTCTACTTAATTAGCAGACCTGATGGGATCTGGATAGCCTAAAGGTAGGGGTGGAGGTGAAGCACAGGCCCATTTCCTTAAAGGCTTGCTTTCTTTCTTTCTTAGCAGATAGCAAAATTAATATGAATTAGGAGTAATAGGAATAACTTTATTTCAAAATGCACGTATTAGCCTGTCTTTCCACCGGCTCTTTGGCAGATCTGTGACTTCATCATTATGAGTTACATTATCATCAATGCAAATGCTTTCTCATCTTGTCCGTATTTTCCCATAAATGTATTAAATAAGCCGGAAGTCTTCCTCTGTTTTTTACAATATCATAGTTTTAGAACTGAAGGGATATCAGAGGCCATTGATTCCAACCTACTCATTTTAGAAAATGAAGAAAGTGAGGAATAGCAAGGTTGAGTAACTTGCCTACAATCCTATTGAGTGTCTGAGATGGGATTTGACTCCAGGCCTTCCTAACTCAAGTCCAATACACTATCGCTACATTATGATGTCAATCTGTACCAAATACCAAGGTATTCTAGTACTTTGGGGGGAAGGCAAGAGGGTAGTACTAATGTAGCACTGACATATCCATCTGTTGGTTTTTCTTGTTCTCCTTTTTTAACCAAATTCTTGATAACGCTTTCATGCTACTGATTTTACGTAAGTCATCTTTGGTTACATGCTACATCCTATTTACATCTACCAATTGTCATTCCACTGACTTTTAGGCTGTCATTTTAATTCTTCCAAAAAGGGTAACATTCTTTTATTCCATTACTCAAAGCTATAAAGCGTTATCTGGAGAATATTGGTGTTAAATATCGGCAGCTGAGTAGCAACAAGAGATCACTGAAAGCAGGGTACTGTTTCTCAAACATGTTCCAGCTTGAGCTCTTCCTAATACTCAATTCTTGTCTCCATCTGCAAAAACCGAAGCAAGACACAGACTGATGGATTAATTTGATAGGTGGCTGCTCTGTTACTTGCATGTTACCGTCTGTACTAGGAATGCGCTTTTGATTCATTCTTTTTCACCAACAAAATCATTTGACCTGCCTCTTTCACATTATGATGGATTTCCCTCAGCAGTCTTAGTGTTCTGGGTCTCTAGAAATTAAGGTATCTGCAAACAGGAATAATTGGAAAATCTTAACATTACTAGAAAATCCTTTTTTCTTCCCCTTGAAAGACCTTTATTTTGCATGAGGAAGTAGGCTTGGATGACCTTTTTTTTTTTTACTTAATAGCATTTTTTTCCCCATTACACATAAAGATAGTTTTCATTCATCTTTTTTGAGACTTTGAGCTCCAAATTTTTCTCCCTCCCTCCCCAAGACAGCAAGTAATCTGATATAAATTATATATGCACAATCATGTTGAACATATTTTCACATAAGTCACGTTGTGAAAGAAAACTCAGAACAAGAAGGGAAAACCACAAGAAAGAAAAAAACAAAAAACAAAAAAAGTGAACTAGTATGCCTCAATCTACATTTGGACTCCATAGTTCTTTCTCTGGACATGGTCAGCATTTTCCATTGGATGACGTTGTAATCTCACTTCAAACACTTAGTTTTTGTCTTTTTTTTTCCATTGAGATGTTAGAATATAAACAAAAATTTGGGGTCTACTCTAGTGGAATGGCAAATGAAGGGTAGAAGGAAATTGACATACAATTATATAGCCAATATGATTTGATTTTCATAATACCTTTCTTCTGAAGATCTAAAGAACAAAAATATACACAATAAACACCAACAGCCCTAAGATAAAAAATCAAAAGGGGATAAAAAATAAAACAAGAAATGAATGATAAGAGTTATGTAGACCGGGTCAAGCCCTTATTTAGCTAGGTCACAGGTGATATTGATGGTGCTCATATGGGGCTTCACCCTTGTCTTATCTTCTGCTCCCCACTTTCAGCATTTCTTCTGCACATTCTCTCAATTATTAAAACAACTAAGTCTCCAGCACCAGGAACAGAGGATGAGACAATTTAATGATTCAATTTAATGTTTATTAAGTATTTACTATGTGCGAAGCAGCTAGGTAGCTCAGTGGATAAAGCCCTGGGCATGCAGTCAGGAAGGCCTACGTTCAAATCTAGCCTCAGAAACTTACTACCTGTGTGACCCTGGGCAAGCAAGTCATGTAATCTCTGTTTGCCTCAATCCACTAGAGAAGGAAATGGCAAACCATTCTAGAATCTTTGCTAAAAAAAAACTCCATGGACAGTATTGGCATGCTGTGGTCCACGGGGTTACAAAGAGTTGGATACAACTGAACCACTACAAATGTGTAAAGCACTATGTGAGGTGATATGGAAGATAAAACAAAGTTTAGATAAGCCAGTCCTTGCCCTCATGGAGCTTATAGTCTAGTTGGGGGTAAGGTTATGACAGGGACAGAAAATTGTAATTATTAATAATTAATTAATAATATTACATAATTAATAATTATGTAATAATAAATAAATTAATAAATAAATAAGTTCATTACAGAGCAGCAAAATGTTCCATGAGATTCCAGATGGAACAGGTCATTACTGAGGGGAGAATTAGAGAAGACTTCACAGCGGAGGTTGAATTTGAGCTGGGCTTTAACAGATGGAAAGGAATTCAACATGTGTAGAGCCAACCCAATAATTTTATTTTAAAAAATCTAAGTTTTGTTTCATTAGAGAAAGATACACTGAATATGTAAAACAGGGCTATATTTCATTTTCATAAAAATAAAAGAATAATGAGACAACATATAAATATTCTTATTTGGGAAGGAAAAACATTGGCTGAGGATGGAAGAATATGATTTGACATTAATGAACATCTACCAAAAACATCTTTGATTTATCACTTTACAAATATTGCTTTACAAAGTAATATTAGTATGATAATATTATAAAGTAATATTAGTAAAAATGAGGCTAAGTAAAGAGGCCAAAAGGAAGGCTCACACTTTTCCCAAAATAAGACAGTTAAACAACCAAAAAAGGTTATAGACAATCAGAATCCCTATTTCCTCACAAAAAAAAACAGCAAAAAAATAAATCCAAATCAAATCTGCATAGTTTTTTGCTCATCTTTCCTAGAACCAAAAGAGTCACCATACTGTGAAAGACCCATCGTTCATCTTGCCCCATCTTTTATTGACCAACAGAAAGAATTACGGAGTTTTACAGCTTAAAAGGACTTTGGAGATGATTTAATTAGTACAAGTAACATTTTACAGATTCAACAAATATTAGGTTCCTATTATGTGAGGCAGTGTTAGGTACTGAGGCTATAAATCTACAAAGACAAAAATAAGTATCTCTCCCTGCAAAAGGATGCAACAGTAAATATAAAGTCTATTAAAAGTAATGGACAGTAATTTCAAGAGAGAGATTTGTTAACAAATGAGATCAGGAAAAGCCTTATACAGATGACACCTGAGCTGTGCTCTGAAGGAAATCTGGGAGACTAGCATGCTTGCAGGCAGCACAAGGATCCTAGTAAAGAAAATTGAAGATGAAAGTGACCAAATGAAGAAGGAGGAAGGCTACTGAAGGAGATGGCAGAGGATGAAATCAAGTGCCTAATTTGAGGGACTGCCTTTGGCAAGGAGGATCACCTCTTCATTAGCGACTATGGCAAAGAAGGAGAGAATGCAAGATGACGGTTTTGAAGTGTAAAGGAAAAAAGGGAACTCACAGATGAGAAAACAAACTCAGTAAGATGATGTCATTTGTCCAAGATCACACAGCCAATCAGTGGCTGACAGAACTAGAGCCCAGATCCCTTGAACCCCACGGGGTCCAGTGCTACCATGGCTATCTTGGGAAGACATAACTCTGGCCCCTAAAGTCAACTTTAAAGGTTAGGCATAAACCAGCTGCTTTTTCAGTCACTTATGGCTCCATAATTCATAAATTATACAAATCTTTTCGAATTTCCTCACGTTTTCCACCAGTATCACCTCCTGGGGGGTAGTAAAACACTCAAGTTTATTACTTCATTTTATTTGTCCTAAACTTACCTCCCTCAAATTTCAAAGTGTGGCCACATTCTTTCTTCAGACTTTGAGTTTCTTAAAGGTGGGGAGGAACTTAAGTTTCTTTTCTGAAATAAATCATGGGCAGATCTTTATTAAAAGCAAAAGATTTATTTAAAAAAAAAACCTTTCAGCCAAATCATCACATGACTCTAAAATCCGCAACTGCTGAGAATTCTCTTAATTCCTTAGTTTGATAAGAGATTTGCCTCCAGGGTACTCAGCAGAAATGATTATGAAATACTATGTTATCTTTCAGTGAGTAGTTAAAATATAAAGTCAACATGTGTTTCCCAACCTATGGCCCACATCCACATGGTTGAAGTTTTTGCAACAGGTCTCAAATCCATATATAAAATACTGGATACAAAATTTCTCATTCATGTATTATTTTTAAATGTATTTAGATGTGATAAGCTTTAAAAGCATTGCTAAATCCACAGTGATCTTTTACCTTTTCTCATTCAATAGACTAATATAACTTACGTAAGGAATTATGAAAGATCTAAATGTTGAGACCTATCATACTGTATTCTCTTTCTGCTGGGTTTTCAGGGGAATGCATATGCTGTAGGTTTTCTACTTTTGTATTTAAACAGGTCAGCTGTTATGAAAAGCAAGAGCTAGGAAAGGCCTCCGGGAGGGGAAATACGAGGCAGAGTAATTGTCTTGGTGGTAGAAGAGACTGGGTCAGTGCAATCATACTTTTACTGAGTGCTGCTGATATCATAATTGCCACAAAGCTGTGTCTCTGACATCAGCAATATTCTTCAATCGTTCAGCACTCACTTCTACCTCAGATATCCTAACTAGAGGTGTACTGTGGTAACTACGGGACATACAAATAACAAGCACTTAAGTATTTCATGACTGTATCAGAGTTTAAATGAACAAGTACACAAAGCATAGAAATCTCCACTACGACATCCTCAAGAAGCAGTCATCCATCTTGGCTTGAAGAGCTCCCATGGGAAAACATGCCACCTATGGAGACGGCATATTCCAGTTGTGGATGACTATGAAGAGCTCATTCCAACTCTGCAACGCACCGTTGAGGATTTTCTCTCATCAAGCCTGCATCTGTCTCTGTAATCTCACTCTGGCTCCTTTTTCTGTTCTCTGGCCACAGGAACAAATCGATGTTCAAAGTGGCAGATTTTCAAGTACCTGAAGACAACTAACCGTCCTACCTTCAGAGAATCATATATTTTCAGCTAGAAGTGACCTCAGAGTCCATCTAGTCCAACCTCCCTGTTTTACAGATGAGGAAACCGAAGCCCAAAGACATAAAATGACTCGTCTAAAGTCACACAGGTAATAGGTGACAGAGCCAAGACCTCTCTAGGTCATCTCTCCTCTGGGATAAAGACCCCTCTGCCCCAAGTTCTTTCAATCAGCCTTAAACCTTTAGGTAAAGGGAAGCAATGTTTTCTAAACCATTCCCAAACGCTGACATACCAAAAGGTGGTAGCCTGGTGTACGTGATAGAAAGGATGCTAGATTTGACATCACAGAATTTGCACTGAAATCCTTGCTCTGCCACTTACTACCAGTGTGACCCTAGGCCAGTTACTCCCCCTCTCTGGACCTTAGTTTCCTCATCTGTAAAAGAAGGAGGTTGGGACTCATCGGCCTCTAAAGTTTCTTCTAGGTCTACATCTATGACCATCGTTGAGCAGTCATCACTTTCAAAACAACAGACCTCCCCAGGAAATAAATCTGGATTTAACACACATTCGTTATCCTAATACCAGGTTAACCACCACTGTGCAGAGGAAAACAGCAAGAGGACCAGGGTTTGCATTCTGACTCTCCCATTTAGTACCTACATAGCCATGAAATAGCCAGTTCCCTTCCGGGGCCTCAGTTTCCTCATTGTAAAGTGTGGGGGTGTGTGGGGGGGTACTAGATGGGTGTTCTCTCAGGTTCCTTCCAGCTTTAAAATTTACGACCTTATGACAGTTACACTCTTAGGGCCTCAGTTTCCTCATCTGTAAAATGAGGTGGGGCTCAATGGCTTTTGAGGCCCCTTGCAACTCTAATTCCATGATCCTGTGTCCATTAACCTGTGCCTCAGTTTCCTCATCTGGTGAGGCAGGTGGACTTATTGGCCTCTGGGCCTCAGTTTCTCCATCTATAATTTGAGGGAGCAAGGCTCTGAGTCCATGAGGGGCCCCTCCCGTGCCTCAGTTTCCCCATCTGTCACGTAAAGGGGCAGGGCTCCGAGGCCCCTCCGGCTCAGAGTCTACACGGCGGGAAAGCCCCTCCTCCCGCCGGACCCAGGCCCTCAGGCCTCTCTCCAGCCTCAGACTCGCGCTCCCAGCTGGAGACTGCCGGCCTCGGTTCAGGGCTCCCCCCGCCCACGACCCGCGCCTGGGGCCGTCGGGGGCTCCTTCTCCCCGCGTGCGGCGAGGCCGGCGGCGGAGCTCTCCGTGAGCCCGGGGCCGCCTCCGCCGCTTCTGTCAGCAGCTGCCACCGTCTCTCAGACGTCCGAGCATGCGTGCTGGACATCCCCGTGCTGCCCCGCCCCCGGGCTCGCAGTAGGCTCCTATTCAGCGTCGGCAGATTGGCCACACCGTCTAGTCAAATCTAAAAAACAAAGCCACAATTTTTATTAGATTATAACTGGATGAAACGCAAAAGTGGATTGTAATGGGGGGATTTTGTACAATCTCAATTTTCATCTACTTTAGTTTTCCAAATATGACACGCGAGGGGATCGTGTCGAAAGAGCTGTCACTGACACGGAGTTGGTTTGGTGCCACTGCGCAGTCGCAGCTTCCCTTTTCCCCCGCCCCCGCTTCAGCCAGGAGTCTGACGTGGAAGTCGCCGCTGCAAAGCATCAGGGCCGGGGCCGGGGCGGGGGTCTGGGCTGGGGACGGGGAGCCCGAGGAGGCCAATCGGCCGCGGCGGCGCTGAGGCCCGAGAAGACGTTGTGGGACTCGGGGGCCGCGCACCGAGCAGCGGGGAGCCGGCGCAGCCATGGGTGAGGCTTCCGGCCGGGGGCGGGTCCGAGGAAGTGTCTCCCCCCTCTTCCCCACTTCTCCCCCCCCCGTCCCGTGTCGGGGCTATACTCCCCTCCCCAGCAGATGAACTCCCTGAGGCCCGGGCAAATCCCTTCCCCCCCCGTCCTCAGTTTCCCCACCTGTAAAATTGAGGGAGGATGTCCCTTCCAGCTCCGTATCTCTGGTCCCCTCCTTTACTTTTCCGCACGGAGGGCTCCCCCATTCCCCGCTGAACTTTCTGGAGACAGTGTCTCCTATGGCAAACCCTCCCAGAGCGTCCCTTCTGAGGGGAGAGAGATGCCTGCTTTTCGGCCGCGTTGGAAGCTGCTTGGGGGAGGGGGGGAGTTGAACGGGGCAGCGACTCGTATAAAGAGAGTTGGGGTTTTTATCATCAGCTCGGGTTTTGGCACCTTGCCCGACCTGGATGATTGCTCTGGTAGGGAGGGTGAAGCAGAAGGAAGTGGAGAAGGGAGCATTGCTTTAGTCTTGTTGGAAAAGCGCCTAAAGACAGGGCTTGGTCTTTACGAATCCCATCTTCTGTTGTGGGGTCAGGTCTGGGGGGGATTCATGCCAGTGTGACCTCAAGCGAGTCACCCAGCATCTCTGGAGACCTCAGTTTCCTCATCTGTAAAATGATGACGGTTGGACCTAAAGACCTCTGAGGTGCCATTCAGCTGTAAATCTATGATCCTGCGTACCCCTCGTTTCTGGTTCTAAATTGAAGGTCTGTCTCATCGGCTTCCAGGGGTTCAGGTATCTTCTTTATGCAGATAGCCAGCTCCTATACTTATAGATGTGACCATAAGGCTCCTCTCAGGAGTAAGTAGGTTCCCCCTACTATTTTGCTGCTGTAAAAAGTGTGACACTCTATGCCCCATGGCTAGACTCACAAACCCTGTGATTCCAAATTATAGTTTGCTTAGGGCAAAGCTCCCTTCTCTGCTTCTTCATATTTATCAGTGTCACCTCCATTCTTCTGTCTGCCTCTATTCCCTTCTTTGTGACCTCTGGAACCCTGGTTCTGTTGTTAATAAATTGCTTTTCGTATTAGATCTGTACTTTTCCTCTGGAAATTTATATACATATATATATATATATATGTATATACACACACACACATATACACACACACATACATATATATCTATATGTAGTTTTTATGTACCTTTAGCTTCTAAGGTTGTTTCATTTTGTTTGTACCCCTAGTGCCTAGGACGGTGCATGACATATAAGCAGGTGCTTAATAAAAGCTTATGGAGGGGCAGCTGGTGCAATGGATAGAGCACTGTGCCTGGAGTCAGGAGTACCCGAGTTCAAATGTGGCCTCAGACACTTGACATTTACTAGCTGTGTGACCCTGGGCAAGTCACTTAACCCCAATTGCCTCACCGCCCCCTTAAAAAAAAAAGCTTATGGAATCAATTCCCCTTAACTAGAAGTCTTTTGATAAAGGGGTAGATGACAGCTTGTTGAAGCATGTTGTCATTTTTGGTTTGGGATTCTTGGTTTGGGTACTGATTGCACCAGATGGTCTTCGGTTTGGGGTTCTTGGTTTGGGAATTTATGGTACTAGACGGTGTTTTTTCCTTACTCACAGACTCCAAGATTCCCTGTTAACAGCCTTAGTCTTTCTGTTGAACTCTCCTGGGTGTCTGTCAGGCATCTAACGCTTGAATGGAACTCATCATCTTCCTAAACCTGTCCCTGCCCTTCTCCCACAGTTCAGCATATCTGTTGAAAGCATCACCATCTTCCCAGACCCTGAGATTTCTAACTTCAAGTTAGCCTGGATTCCTCTGTCTGTATGCAGTCATTTGCCAAAGTATCTTTACCACAATATTTCTTGTATCCCCTTTTCTCCATTCACAGTTCAGTTCTAGTTCAAGTCTTCATCTCCCACCTAGATTACTTTAATAGGCTCCTAATTAGTTTTCTTGCTTCTAGTAACCTTTTTTTTATTCATTCCTCTATACAGTTACTAACCTCATCCTCCTAAGACTTACAACTGATCATGTCACTTTTTACCTCAAAAACTTTTAGTGTCTCCCCATTGCTTATAGGATAAAAACAGACTCCTTACCTTGACATTTAGGCCCTTGATAATCTAGCTCTTGGCTACCTTTCTAGCTTTATTTTTTACTTCTAACTTTCTCCAACTCCACTGTCTGCCTGAATCTGACTCACCACTTCATCCCCTGCCTCCAGGTGTTTATCCAAGCTGTCCTTCAGTTGATCATTTCACAATGTTGCTGTTACTGTGTACAATGTTCTCCTGGTTCTGCTCACTTCACTTTGCATCAGTTCATGTAAATCTTTCCAGGTTTTTCTGACATCCGCTTGCTCATCATTTCTTGTAGCACAATAATATTCCATTACATTTATGTACCACAGCTTGTTCAGCCATGCCCCAATGGATGGGCATCCCCCTCAATTTCCAGTTCTTCATTACTGCAAAAAGAGCTACTATAAACATTTTTGTACATGTAGGGCCTTCTCCCCTTTTTTATGTTCTCTTTGGGCTGCAGACCTCAAAGTGGTACAGCTGGATCAGAGAGTTTTCACAGCTTGATTGCCCTTTGTCATAGTTCCAAATTGCTCTCCAGAATGGTTGGATCCGTTGTGAACTTACTTTGTTTTTTAAATTGATAACTATTTCATATAATTGATTTTCTTCATAATCATATGTATTTTGTTTTATGTATGTAAACAAAACATTCTTGAGAAAGGGTCCATAGGCTTCCGAAGACTGAGGGATCTGTGTCACAAAAAAAGTTAAGAGCCCTGGGTCTAATGGAAAGACAACAGATTTAAAATCAAAGGACCCAGGTTCAATTCCTGACCCTACCACTTACTAGCTGTATGACGTCAGCTGGCTCAGGTAAGCTAGCATGGCCGTTAAGGTCCCTTCTGTTTTTAGATGTGCGATAGTTTGTCACTGCTCTGCTCAGAAATCTTCACTAGCATCCTGTTATCTAGAGAATAAAGACAAAACTTCTTAGCTTTGGTTTTCAAAGCTAATACAGTCGGGTTCTATGGAAACCCCTCAGTTCCTGCCAAACTTGTCTACTCCCTGTTCCCACATCTTGCCTTCCTGCCTTTGCTTGTTGTTCCCTGAAGCCAGAAACAGCCTTTAAAAACATCCTCCTATCCATTTTAGCCCACAGTCATTTTAACCTCTTCCAAACTGACGGAGCTGGGTTGTCTATATCATTCATTTGGAAATTAGCAACACCTTACTTTGTGACATCTTCTGTATTACTCTGATGGTTGGGTAGATGATAGCATTAACTCTTTGAGTTCCTGGCTTCTGAACTAGATAAGAAATTCCTTGAGGGCAAGAGAGTCTTTGTATCCGCCCATTGGCATGTAATCGATTTTCAGTGAGCGTTTGATGACTTAATTTCACTCCTTGACTGTGATACATCTTGTGGTTCTGCCGCCAGGACTGACTTTGCCGCTCTTCTTGTTGTTGTGGGAAAAAGTGTTTTCTTAGAATCAGTCCGACAGTCATTTGTTTTAAAACAAATTTAATAAGAATAAATATTAATATTAATAAAATATAATAAAAACAAATAAGATAATTTGTTTTTTAAACACTTCTATGTTGCAGGCACTGTGCTAAATTCTGGGGTTACAAAGAAAGGCAAAAACATTGTGGGACACTGCCCACAAGGAGCTCACATTCTAACAGTGAAAACAGCATGAATTAACTTTATAGAATATAATGTATAGATATATGTGTGTGTGTGTGTATACACACACACACACACACACACACACACATATATATATATATATATATATATATACATATATATAATATATATATATGTATATATATATATATATATATATACACACATGGAGGTGGAAAGTAGTCTCAGAGGAAAGGCACTAGTAGCTAGGGGAGATAGGGAGGAAACTCCTGCAAAAGGTGAGATTTGAACTAAGTCTTGAAGGAAGCCAAGGACCATAGGAGGCACAGGTGATAGGAAGAGCATTCCAGGCATTGAGAACAGCCAACTAAAAGGCCGGAGTTGTGAGATGAACTATTGTGTTTGAGGAAACAGGAAGAACACCAGTATCACTAGATCATAGAGTGTGAGGAGAGGATTAAAATGTAAGATTTAAGGGGTAAAAAGGCTTATAGTTGTGAAATGCTTTAGATACCAAACAGAGCATCCTGAAAGTGATAGGGAAGCACTGGTTTTTATTGAATAAGGCAAGTGACGTGGTCAGACCTGAGCTTTATGGGAAAATCCCCTTGGCAAGCTGAGTGAAGGATAGATTAGTCTGGAGAGAGACTTGAGGCCATTAAAAGGTTATTGCCAAAGTCTTGGCATAAGGAAATGAGGGTCTGTGCCAGGGTAGCGCCTCTGGGAATCAAGAAAAGGAAACATGTAAGAGATGTTATGAGTGTAGGGATGATAACAGTTTGGCTGTGTGAGGTGAGTGAGGAATCTAGGGTGTGAGCCTGGGTGACTGAGAGGATGGTGGTATCTTGACAGTGATAGGAAAGTTCTGAATATTTAAAGTCTGGGTTCATTAAACCAACTGTACCGTTTTATTGTTACTTATAAAAAACCTTTAGTAGGAAAATATTCTTACTGTGTGCAGTGCATTGATTGTGCAATGCTGTCATCGTAAAATTTAGTCTAATGGGATGTGACAGATGCACCTAACACAAAATACTACATAAGTGCCTTAGGGGGAATAAAGCCAAAATTCTAGGTGAGGGCAAAGGGGGGAAATTGTTTCTAATGGAGGAATAAGGAAGCCTTCATTAGGTGTGGCATTTTTGTTGGGTTTTAATGGCTTGGTGGAATTCAGCAGGTGGAAGGGGAAAGGAGAAGGTGTGACCAAAGGTGTGTTGGAGGCAGGAAGCAAAAGAATTGGAATTTTCCTTATAGGGAGCATTTCTGAGCAGAGGCGTGGCCTTATGGTGGTAGTGGTTTAAAGGATAGGTTGTATTGGGGATAGTGGCATTGGCATGAGGGACTGTATAAAAGTGGTGGGGCAGTGAGGAGGCCCCAAGGGGGACAGATTGCTGAGATGGTTCGGATAGAATGGAGGACTGTAATGCTGTTGTCGTCAGTGCGTGTTGTTAGGAAAGATAACGATGCTGCTGACCTTCTGTGAGGACAGTAGTTCTGTGGATTGGTTTTGCTTTCCACTCTTAGAAATGGAGGATATTTGTCATAAGCTCTCTCATCTCCCCTCCTCCCCTACTTAAGGGGATTTTCAAAGGTTGTGACCCAACATTTGAATTCCTCTTTACTGGTAAACTAGAAAGAGTAGTCTCTACTTAATGT